TGATTCTTTTAAATGAATGGCATTAGCCAGACATCTCAGTAGCTTAGAGAATATGTTCCTTAGTTAATAAAAAACACAACACAACACAACAAAACAAAACAAAAACAAAAAAATCTTAATTGCATCCCCAGAAGAATTTTTAAAGGCTACACATACCTTGTATGTTCTTAGATAATATTTGCTTTTCATCACAATCTCAAATAATTAAAGGTCAATTTCTGACAAAAGTTGCAAATACAAGTTAGTAAGTGGTGAATTTTATTTTAACTATATCCACCGGAATCTACATAACTCATAGATATAATATTCATCATGTACTAAAAAATTGGAATTTCTGTCTTCATATTTGGGAATTTCATCTTGGTTTTCTTTCTATTTAAATTTCTATTTAAATTTCTTTTTCAATATAGTAGAATTTTATTCTAATATAGTGTATTTATATACATTTGAACATTCCATGTGTCTGTGGATCAGTATTTATGTAGTTTTGCATGGTGAGCAACAGCGTGGAATGCAGAGCCAGATTTCTGAGTCATAGTTTTGCTACTTGCCCTCTGAGTAACATTGGGAAAACTGCTTCACCTCTCTGTACCTAAGTTCCTTTAACTGTAAATGAGGGTGTGAGGGACATTATATATCTTGTAGAATTGTGGTAAGGGCTACAAGAGTTCACATATAAAAATACCTTAGAAAAAATCCTGCAGTGAATGAATGGTACTTGCTTGCTATTATTTTTAGACTGATTTGGGGCTCAGCCTCTCTTTTTTCTTTTTGTTTTTATAGATTTGAGTGCTGAAATTGTTAACATTGTTAACACAAAGAGGTAGATGGTAATGGGAGGACTTTTTGCATATATGAGGGTTTTCAAAAAGTTCATGGAAAGAGTATATCTCAGAAAATGTATGAATGAATTTCAAAATACTTTGCACCAAAATAAGCTCATATGTTAATTATATTTTTCCATGACATCTGAGTGTTGTCTCTAAAATTTTGACTCCTTCCAGGCTATATGCAAAACAAAATCACATAGTCATTTCTCATGAAAATGTTTTTTGTGTTTTTGTTTTGGAGAGATTTTTGCTATAGGGTACATGCACTTACCAGAGAGACAGAGATACTGAGAGATAGAAAATGAGAACTCACTCACTGGGGGGTGGGGATGGCCACCCCACAATCCCTTCTCCATTCTCCTCTCTGGATTTTGGGCACGCACGCATATGTGCCTGGCATGAGTTTTAAACCATGGGGTCTGGGACTCTTACTGTGGTTGACTACATGGGAGTCCAGTGATGTAAATATTACACCATCTGCTGATCCCCGAAATATTTTTTAAATGCAAGAGTTAACAACTTAATAGGATTCTTTTATTGTATTGTTGAAAGCAAAGAACTGGAAATATTTGTCTATCAGAACGTTTCAGGAATTGAACTCATTTACTGTTTTAGCTTCTGGGAAGTATACTACCAAACGCTTTACTAGACTTATCAAATAGCTCCCAAGCCTGTTACTCTGTCACTTATAGGTGCTATGTGTAGATCAGTATTCTCAGAAAGGGCTGAGAAGATAAAAACACTAGGTCAGGACAGTCCAAGCATCAGGCTTTTCCAGCAGGGAAGTTTGGGGGAAAACAGATGTAAGATAATTAGTGAAATGGAGATGATTCTCTCTCTATGCCTGCATGCTCTTTGGACATTGTCATGAGCTCCCAGGGGGTACCCAGGCCACAGTTTGAAGACTCTTGGTTTAAACTGCCAATGGTTTCTGACAGAGTGACGTTTTTGAGAAGCAATGAGATGTCAAATATTCCAAGAGTGATCAATTGATTTCCATTGGAAGAGAGCAAGAGCTTCTTAGATGGAGAATAAAATGATATCGCTGAGGAGTCAAGTGAGTTCCTCATTTGAATTCCTTCAAAACTCATTGATTCTTGACTGATATGCATGATAATTATGCTGGGAAAAGAAATGTAATACGCTGTAAATATATATCTGATTCAATGTAATATAAAAAGGTTATGATGATAATAAATAAAATAAAAAATAAAGTTGCATACTAAAATAGGCAAAAAAACCCCTCATTGATGAGAGATTTTAATGCATGAGTTCTAGAACTGCATGAATTCTTTCTATGCATGTATGTATGAATGTGTACACACATGCACATATCTATACACATACATGTATATGAGGGGCCTTCAAAAAGTTCATGTACAAAATATGTATTATGAAGAATCTATGCAGGGATTTCAAAATTTTTTATACTGAAATAAACTCATACTTTAATATAAAATTTCCATGAAGTTTCTGAAGTACCCTCATATTACCATTTCATAGAAGGTGGTGGCTTTATTTTTAAGTACATGAAATACTTTTATTATTATTTTGAATGAGCTATCATCACCATGCTATTTTTAAACATCTTTGATTAATGATCCCCCTGTAAGTTTTTCTGGGGGAAAACATCAATCAGTATTAGTGGGAGACCTAATTATTAGAATATTTAATTAAGAGTTTCTTTCAGGCACTTTTCAAAGAACAATTTAATATTTGAGAACTGCCGCCTTATTTATATCTCTAGAACTGAGTAGTGAGAAAATCTTGACAGTAGTCACAAAGACTCAACTAGACCAAACATTACCAAAATTATTCTCATTTATTCAAGGCTTTAAAATAAAATATTCATTTAATATGATACAGAGGCAATAAAATACATAATTTAATCAGCTTTTCAAACTCACTTCAAAATAGAGACTTGTCATTTTAGAAAGCTCAGCTATTTTTCTTTCCTCTGGCACATTAGGAGGGAAGAACACAACTCACAGCACCATATCCTGTAAGAAATCCAGGCTGTCTCACTCACGTGTCTTGGGTCAACAGGGAGGGAAAAACCTGCTTACTGCAGCTGCTGACACCCTGGCCCTTGAAAATTCAGTGTCTTTACTGCACCTGTCTGTGTTGAAGAACCTGTAGGAAGTGCTTAACTATAGACTGAGGCTTTCTTTCACACTGTGGGAAGTAAATGCTCTCACATTCCCTAAGAAGAAAATTAGTGCTCCCTTCTCTCCAACTACTCCTTAAAAACAGTCTAGTCCTTTTCATTATGCTTGCTGAATGTTGGAACAATATGGAGGCCTTATTCCATTGTAAATGTGGCCCTTGTAAAACAAGATACCCAACTTTCCAAAGCAGAATTTCTCTCTCTTTCTTTGAGGAGCTGAGCTGAGTTCCTGCTCCCAGCAGGATCTGACCTCAGATCATCTAAATGCAAAAATTTTTGGATGCCAAAACATTTGAAAGAGAATCTATGAGATGGTGAAACTATCCAAATGGAAAACGGGATTAAAGGATTTAAGGAACTAGGGAAACTATGGACAGAGTTAAGAACACGCATGTATCTTGCTGCAGAATGAGGGAAAGGAAATGTAATCAGATCTCATCGTTGAGAGGCTGCCCCTTGACCATTATTTTTCCTTGAGAGCCTTAAAACCTTGTTTCCACTGTTCAAATCCTCCTTGCTTCCTCTGGTTACACCTGCTTATAGCATCCAAGGAACTCATTCAGCAGGCAAAACCTTTCCTACTCTGGCCATTGGATATTTCTTTTTAAAATACTGTTTAGTATCATCTTCCTGATCCTTCTCTGACTTGATTCTTCTTGTAGCTTAATTCTGTGTATTGTTGGATTCTGGTTAAGCACTTTAACCAGGTATATATTTCCCATGATCTCCCATGGAATTAATTTATCCACCAGAGTGTTGGTGTTGCTTTCAGTATTTCTGCTTTGCATTTCCTGCTGTGCTTCTGTGGGTGCGTCGTATGAGCTGAAAGACATTGATTTGCCTCACATGTGGAATTCTGGCAGGAGTTCTTCTCTAGGGCTTGAAAAGCTCTCTGCCAAATCCAAATCATTAGACACAATTTCGTTTTTCCTTAAAATATCTAGTGAGTTGGAATCAGCAGTTAGCATAATGGCTATGTCGCTGGACTCCCACGTAGTCGACCGCGGTTCGCGTCCCAGACCAGGTGGCTTAAAACTCACTCCGGGTGCGTGTGCGTGCGTGCCCAAGACCCCAAGAGGAGAATGGAGGAGAAGGGATTGTGGCATGACCATCCCTCCTGGGGGGTGATTTCTTGCTTTCTGTCTCTCTGTCTCTCTCTGTCTGGTGTGCACGCGCCCTATAGCGAAAACCTCTCCAAAAAAAAAAAAAAAAAGATCTAGTGAGTCTCATTGGATCCCTGAGGTAGAACAACAAAAGTACATAACGTCGCTGATGAGTTAAAAACCTGATACTGGGCCAGTTTGTGAACTGGTGGTTCAGGCAACTGGATCCCACATGGCCAACTGTGGAGTTTGAGTCCCAGACCTGGTGGCTTGAAAAACACACTAGGCACATGTGCATGCATGCCTAAAATTCCAACAGGAGGGAGAAACAAGAAGAGATTGCAGTGTGACCATCCTCTGTGGGGGTTGCTTTCTTGCTTGCTTTCTCTGGCTAGTAAGCCCACAGGCCCTACAATAAATACAAAAAGAAAAAAAGAGACCTGACTATAATTTGCTTATTGAAATCTGTTTAGTAACACTTTCCTCTCATTTCTGCTTTTGGACTGTCACTGGAGGTTATTTTTTAAATACAGAAACTCAGATATCTGCCTATGTTATATTATAAAGTATATAAATAAACAAATCATAAAGTTTTCTAAATAGGGATCAAAATGTCAGCGGAAGGCATTCACATAGATCTTACAATCATAAATACTGAAGAATACTTTAATTGCATTAGAATAATAATTCATCACATCTATTTTAACATACAAAAATCAAGTGCTCATTTCTGGACTTTAAGATTCTATACATAAGAACTTAGTTTAGAGGTTATCAGGTTCTTGGGGCTGGTAGGTGGCTTGGTGGTTAAGGGTGCTGGCCTCCCACGTGGCTGACTCCCAAGTCCTGGACCTGGCGGTTTGCTCTCTCTTTCTCTCTCTCTCTCTCTCTGTACCTCTCTGGTCAAATTGAAATAAATAAATGAATAAAGTTAAATAAAATAATTTAAAAAAAGAGGTTATCAGGTTCTCACTGTTACCTTTGTCATGTTGATTCCATGGATTTATTTTGGAATATTTCACACATATACATATATACACATATAAAAATATATATGACACATTTGTCACATTAATAAACTGGACCACTATTCACTTGGTGCCATATGCAAAATACAGTTTCAAACAAAATTTAAATTTTCACTTTAAAAGTTTTTCTGCCAGCTGTCCCATCAAAACAAATAATGAAATACAGTTATTGTTGGAAAATATTCTTTCAAATTCCTCTTTTTCGTCAACTCGGTATCTACTTTTCATCTGGTTGAAATCCTCCATTTAACTCTGGTTCTGCTCCCTTTTCTTTGTTCTTTGGAAGTTCTTCATCATTTTTTCTATAATATTTCTTGTATATCACATAAACTGGAAAACAATGGACAGGAGGTTAAATAAATTTCATAATAAACTGCAATATTATTTTTAACAAGGAATCTGATCTAGAATATGACTCATGACACTATTAATATTCTCTGAAGATTGGAGGCTGCCTAGTGAAAGCCATCACCATTCTCAATCCTATGATCACTCCTGGCAAGAGGGGTGACAGGCATGTCAGGAAGACCTAGTGAGAAATTTTATAGGATATTTGCCAGGGCAGCCATATGACTTCTTCAGACATTTGGCCCTGTACATGACACTCAGCAGTAATACAAGAAGCATTTACACCCCCTCCACCACAGCCCAGTTCATGTGCTACGTGCAGTGATGCAATGTCCAGGGCTTGGTCTGACACTCCTTTGTGGAAGGACTTCCTGCTATGCTCTCTCCCTGCCCTCACTCATTGTTTCCCAGTGGAGAAAAGGCTTGGCTGATGGGTGAGAAACCTTCTCCTCTGTGGAGCTGCTAGTCCCTGGCAGCAACTAGTTTTCAGTTTACCTTTCAGACCTGATTACTAGGACAGGCTCTATTCTGCAAGAGAAGACTTGCAGTTTGTGCATGTGGGTTTCTGCACGTGTGTGAGGTAGTGAAGAGAGCAGTGGTAGAATTAAGGTTCAAGCTTATTTCCCAAGTAAGCTCCATCCATAATGAAAGTGCTATTTTATTATTATCTAAATACAAGCTGAGCATCTATTATCTATATACAAGTTGAGCATTCCTAACCAGAAAATCCAAGATCCAAAATGTTTCAAAATGTGTAACTTTTCAAGCGACCATATAATACCACAAGAAAAAAATTCCACAGCTAATCTTGTATGATAAATCACAATCAAAATGCTATAATACAAATGTATCACAGAAAATTACCTCCAGGCTATGTGTCTAAAGGGTCTATAAAATGTAAATGAATTTTGTGTTTAAACTTAGGCCCATAGCCAAGATTTCTCACTGCATGTATGAAAATAACCCCCAATCCAAAAAGATCTCAAATCCATAGCACTTCTGGTCCCAAATAAGGGATATCATGTGTCTGATTTTTTCTTCCACCTCTCAATTGATTCCAAAGTCAACATCTTGAACCCCTCAAATTCAGTGCCTCACATGTGAAATTACTATGATATTATCTGCCTTGTAGGACAATTGTGACCACTAAATGAGATAAAATTAAGAGCTGAGGATGGCCTGAGAATAGTAAGTCCTCCTTTCTTAACTGTCATTAAGTTAACCACCACTAAATGAGATAAAATTAAGAGCTGTTCATGGCCTGAGAATAGTAAGTGCTCCTTTCTTAACTGTCATTAAGTTAACTATCATCATCATACACAGCTGAGTGACATAGCTGGCTTCGAAGATCTTAATAAAAAGTCAAGATCAATATCTCCTTTGCATTTTCTAGGCACTCCTAGTAATATATCAGTTTTAAAGCCATTGAACCATACTACTGAGTTTAGTTGAGCTTGCGGTCAGTTTAAGGATTCAACACAATATACACGATATTGAGCTGGAACGCTCTCAAGTTATACAATGCCAACGATTTTGTTTAACTATACATCTTATTTCCCCCCTTCCCAGGCACTAAATGAAGATACCTTTCTTATTTTCATCTTTACTGATAAAACTGTGGGAAAGGACAAGACCAATTCCAGTCCTATCTTTCCTCATTCTTTCAACTTGATTTTCTAGTCATCATTTTTTGGGGGAGTTAGTTGTTCAACTAGAACATTTACTGAATTGCTCTATCAACTAATCCATGCTCTTTGGCTTGTCTAGTGGATATAGCTAGCTAAATATTAGTAAGAATCTCACAGTGTGCCAAATTGGGTAGGCCCATATACGAAAACAAGGTTATTAAGTCATGGGCTTATGTCTCCTGGACCAGTGATAAATCAATGGGATATTTTCAGTGGAACCAGAGAGTCCCATTCTAGAAGCGAGCCCGTCTTGAGAATAACACTCAGGACAGCAATGCAGAGAATAATCAGCACTCATGGGCAAGTCAAATACCTATTGGAGCAAAGTAGAAAAGTAAAACAAACTAAAACTGTATCCAGACAGGTATAACTTAACATTCACATCAAATTTGTTGTGCACCTTCACTTCACGTTCCCCACTAAAATGCCATGAAACTTTGAAAAATAGCTTCTCTATTAAAAAGCAACAACAACAATAGAGGTTAAATTTCATCAGTCCTTGGAAAGCAAAGGCGAGGGAAAGTTTCAACCGTGTAGAGGACACTGGTGGCAAGGCCTAAGAGGGAGGGGAAAAGCTTTGTGCTGCAGCTGAGGAGATTTCATCATCAGGTTAACTAGCTCCAGGACTTGAAATAAAGAACATTTCTCCTTGATCTCTTTCCATGATATGGACACTTAAAAATATATGTAGGGTTGACCCCATGGCCCAGTGGCTAAGGGACCTGAATTCCACCTGACCAACTATGGTTTGAGTTCCATCCCCAGAGGCTTAAAACCATGCCAGGGACACATGTTTGCAGGCCCCAACTCCCAAAAGGATGGAGAAAGAGAGAAGGGATTGTGGCATGGCCATGCCCAGTGGGGATCCTTTATCCCTCTCCCTCTTTCTGTCTCTGCAAGTGTCCTCTGGCAGTACGCCATATACATATATATATGTGTACACATACATACACACGCACACATACATGTCTGCCTTGTAACTTAGCATGACAAATGTTCATACCAATTTTTGATAAATATATTTGCAATCAGATCAAGACAATGTTTGGGGAAAAAAATCACCAAATTCTAGGTTTCTGGAAGTATTTGGGGAGACCTATGATGATGTTTTCTTAATAGTTTAATATGCTTCCCAAATGACCAAGGGAAAAAAAAGTCAGTGGATAGAATCGGCTTCCATTTCTAGTCACTTAAAAATAACCTCCACTAGAAACTTTTGGTGAAATGACCATCTTTTTCCTCAGCAGTGGGGAAGCCATGATATTACGGATGGCTTTTTCCTCCCCTTTCTTTGTGCGATCCACAGCCAGGAACGGGGAATTGAAAAACATGCCAGTTTAGCAACTGCAGGATTTTTCATAGAAGAGCCTCATAATGAAATGTGATTAGCACTGCTCCTTACTTCCTAAGAATATTGCGGCGAAGGCAAGCTGGAAGATGCTGTAGATGAGAGGGAAGGTGAATATCTGGTTCAGCTCCTCCTGGGTGAAGGACAGCTGGACGATGGTTGAGCACAGCTGACTGTTCTGCATCCCTGTTTCCAAAGCAACTGTCCGGCACCTGCAAGGAGTGTTACGAGCACATCCATTTGACTTGTTTTGTTATTGTATAACGTTCAAAGCTGACGTAATGAGAATGAGCACACATATATATACATATATACACATATATATGTATGTATTCATTCTGCCTCTGCTTCTAACGTATATATTTAATACATATTTGTTCAACAGACGACTTTATATTGAATGGATATATTTCTTACTAGTATAATCTATTATATATAATATAAATAAATAGCTTTTCTATACATACATATATCAGGAACAGGATCACTTATAATCATGTTCCCTAAAGGACAAGGCAGAGGGTCATTTCACCCTTTTCAATGACATCATTGGTAACAATGCAGACCTCAGCTCAGAGCCTGAAAAATACTGAAGATACTGTATGTACTGTGGTCATTTTATTATTAATTTCACTTTGTTCTGATGAAATCCTGAAAAAAGAAATCTGCAAGATGGGCGTTATTACTCTTATTCTACAGATAAAAAAACTCAGAAAAAGGATTAGTGTCTCGCTGAGGTGCTATGCTTGGTCAGAATGCAAGGCCCTGTTTGCTTGGTGCCCTGTCCACTGTCCCATGCTGCAGACCTTTCTCAACACACCTGCACCAGTATCTGCATTGCTTTTCTCTCTGTCTGTGGATTTAGTGGGCTGTCAGAAAAGTCATGGCACATTTTCGCATAGAAAAATATATCACGATTTTTCCGACGACCCAATAGATGGACTAGGAGAAGGGGAAGTAATTTTTCCCAGGACCTGATGTGTAAATGCTGAACCCATTCTAATAGTCAGCACCTGGCAATGATGTGTTCATGCTGCCACTGGCTGGAGGAACCCTGGCATGTTACAAGACCAGCCTGCTTTTGTTCAAGTCCTGCTGTGTGGAGAAGGAGGATGCATAACAATGGATGGGCCTGACCTGCACAGTGTGAGGAATGATCCAGAAGAATTTGAGCCAGAAAGAGGCAATTGGGTATTATCTTTCTGGGAAACTTGCATAATTTAGAAATGAATACATTTATTTAGACTGACATTTCAGAAGCTGGGTGAATGTGATGAAAGGTTAAGGGGATTGACGTTTTCATCAGTATTTATAGATATTATGAGTTGATTGTATCCTTCTAAAATTTATATGTGGAAGTCCTACTTCCCAGTATCTCAGAATGGGACCTTATGTGGAAATAACTGCAGACAGGACAGATATCATTAACCACGTCGTTAGGGTGCACACTAATCTGGTAGGTCTGGTGTTTTTCTAAGAGGGGAAATTTAGGCAGGGATGGGTAGAGATGGGAGATGATGTGACGAGACATGGGAGACAACGACCATGAGCAAGCCAAGAGAGGCCTGTGATGGATCCTTTCCTCGCAGTCCCCCCCAAAAAAATCGGTCTCATGACATCCTCATTTTTTTTTTTTTTTTTAGAGAGAGATTTTTGCTACAGGGTATGTGCACTTGCTGGAGAGGCAGAGAGACAGAAAGCAAGAAATCACCACCTAGGGGGATGGCCAGGCCTCAATCCCTTCTTCTCCAGTCTCCTCTTAGGAATTTGGGGATGTGTGCACATGCACCTGGCATGAGTTTTAAGCTCCTGGGTCCAGGACTTGAATGGAGGGCGACTATGTGGGAGTCCAGCAACATAACCATTATGCCATCTGCTGGTCCCGTGACAACCCTCATTGTGACTGTCAGTCTCTGACACTGTGAGACAGTAGGTTTCTCTTGTTAAGCCAGTCAGTTCATGGTACTTCATTATGGCAGCCTTAGCAAACCAATATGGTAGCCATTAGGGATGAAAATGCCTGATTTACCAAATCACCATACCTGTGCCAGGGCTGACCAGCTATTCTAGCCAGAAGAAAACCTAGGGTGTAACCAGCCACTGGATATATAGTTCCTATAATCCACAACTTGGGAGCAATGATCCAGGCACTTTGGTACAATATTCCTCCAACCACAGCTATGAGCACGATGAGAATTGCACCAGCAATGGATCCAATCTGGAAAAAGGACACATGGGAACCTGTCAGTAAAGTGTCAAAGCAAATCCAAACACATCATTGGGAAAGAAGTCTAGACTCCTTTTTGTTGAAGAAGTTGATAATGAAGTCATCCCTTCATGTATTTTCAGCTGAAGGCCATAGTCGGCCCACTGGGAATACTGACATTTGTTCCATGTCATTTTTAAGAAAACAACAGGACAAAATGTATTCACACTCAGACTGAAGGAGATTTTCTTGCTTGCAACTTGTCATTATTAGAGAGGAAGAACACCTAAAAGTCTTAACTTTCAGATTCATTTCCTGCTATTTGCCCCCTTTGGAAAACCATGAACTTCTCTAAGTCTTAGCTCTTCATTTTTTTTCTTTTTTAAAAATAGTTATTTTATTTAACTTTATTTATTTTAATTTGAACAGAGAGGAACAGAGTGAGAGAGAAAAAGAGAGAGGGAAAGTGAGAAAGTAAGCCTCCAGGTCCGGGACTTGAACCACAGTTGGCCATGTGGGAGTCCAGCGTCCTTAAATACCATGCCACCTGCAGTCCCCAATTCCTTAATGTTTAACTGGGGATACAATCTTGCCCCAAACACTTTTTATGATTCTTAAGGTGATGAGAAAATGAATATAAAACTCTATAAAAGTTAAAAAGGCACATGGAAATGCAAACCACTGTTATCATTTTCTCTTTTTCATGTTAAAAAGATTCTGAGGGGTCAGCAGGTAGCTTAGTGGTTATAGTGCTGGACTCCCACATGGCCAACTGTGGTTCAAGTCCCGGACCGGGCAGCTTGAAAATCTCACTGGGCTTATGTGCATGTATCCCAGGAAGAGAATGGAAGAGAAGGAATTGCAATGTGGCCATCCCCTCTGGGGGGTGACTTCTCACTTTCCCTCTCACTGTCTCTCTCTATTTCTCTCTGGCAAGCACATGAACCCTATGGCAAAAATCTTTAAAAAAAAAAAAGATTCTGAAGGGCTGCCCACAGGGTGCAGTTAATCCCTGTGCTTAGGGAGCTGGATTCCACATGGTGAACTTCAGTTGGAGCCCTTGCTCTGACAGTTTGAAAAACACATGCATGCATGTGTGCCCCATATCCTGACAGGAGGAAGAAATGAAGGAAAAAGAACTGTGGCATGGTTGTGTCTGTTGGGGGATGATTCCTCTCTTTCTTTCTCTCATCTCATGAATGCATGTGCCTTCTGACAATAAAATAAAATTTGAAAATTATAGCATTTTTTTTTTGTCCAGAAGAGCAAGAAACACAAACTAGCATATTTTGTCCCCTAAACAGCAGAATCTATCTATATCATCCATATCCATGTCCACATCCATATCCACTAGCTAGAATAGAGTTGGCAAAGAAGAGGGAATGGTTACTATGTATATTGCATCTACCAGTTGCCAGGAACTGAACTGGCCATATGGATACAAAGATAAGATAGATATGATCTATTTTCTGAGAAAGCCATCTAGATATATTTTATAAGAGAATCACATAATGGAGATAAAAGCAATGTGCTATGTGCTATGAGTACAGAACAAAGTAAAACCAAGAGGTGATATTTAATTAGGGTGTCTCAGAGGGTGGAGAGAAATTTGCCCTATGAATGGGACAAGGAAGGACATTCTATATGGTGGGCTGGATGACTAATGAATTCAGATACATAGAAGGCAATCATATAATGAGATGAAAACAAAACCTAGAAGACTTAGCCTCCTATTTGCCTCCTTTGGTAAATCATAAACTTCTCTGAATCTTAGCTTTTTCCTTTGTAGTTAGATAAAAAATCTCGCCCCAGTCACCTTTTGTAATTTTTATGATGATGAGAAAAATGAATATAACACTCTATGAATGTTAAAAAGGCAGAAACAAACATAAACCATTGTTATTGTTTTAGTTTTTCACAATAAAACTTTTTTTTGAAAGCCTCGCCATAAAGTGTAGCAGTTAAGCCCTGTATACAGGGAGCTGGGTTCCACATGGCAGAGTGTGGTTGGAGTCCCACATTTGTGTGTGTGTGTGTGTGTGTGTGTGTGTGTGTGTGAGAGAGAGAGAGAGAGAGAGAGAAAGAGAAAGACCCTGTCTTCTCCATTCCCACTGGGGAGCCTTAATACTTACTTTGAGTATCTTCTTTGCTGTTCGAGGCCATTTGTGATTAACGAACATTCCAACGGAAACAGGAACAACCAGAGCAACCAAAGAAGTACCTACAGAGGTCAGAAAAGCAACTTGATTAACAGAATACACAACACAGGAAAGAGAAAGACAAGAGTAGATAGCCTGAAAAAGGTTTATTTTATATTTCAGCCTTTCTTCTTGAATATACAGAAGAGAATCCAAAATTAATTTTAATCCCTTTCTTTTTTTACTGCTTACCCACTCTGGTCCCACTCTGGTAAATAATGCAATACTACTGGTAGAGAATTGATAATTGATGGTATAAATCCTCTCTAAATCCTGGGTTAATTTTTCAGAGTTCTTTGTATTGTCAACACACTTAGGTTTTGATTTGTCAGAATCTTGGCTTGTTTGGTCTTTTGATCTTTATACCTTAGGAAAATATCTTGCCAAAGTTCGTTGTGTGTGTGTGTGTGTGTGTGTGTGTGTGAGAGAGAGAGAGAGAGAGAGAGAAAGAGAAAGACCCTGTCTTCTCCATTCCCACTGGGGAGCCTTAATACTTACTTTGAGTATCTTCTTTGCTGTTCGAGGCCATTTGTGATTAACGAACATTCCAACGGAAACAGGAACAACCAGAGCAACCAAAGAAGTACCTACAGAGGTCAGAAAAGCAACTTGATTAACAGAATACACAACACAGGAAAGAGAAAGACAAGAGTAGATAGCCTGAAAAAGGTTTATTTTATATTTCAGCCTTTCTTCTTGAATATACAGAAGAGAATCCAAAATTAATTTTGATCCCTTTCTTTTTTTACTGCTTACCCACTCTGGTCCCACTCTGGTAAATAATGCAATACTACTGGTAGAGAATTGATAATTGATGGTATAAATCCTCTCTAAATCCTGGGTTAATTTTTCAGAGTTCTTTGTATTGTCAACACACTTAGGTTTTGATTTGTCAGAATCTTGGCTTGTTTGGTCTTTTGATCTTTATACCTTAGGAAAATATCTTGCCAAAGTTCGTGGTGTGTGTGTGTGTGTGTGTGTGTGTATGTATATTTTTGTATACACAGATGATATTTTACAGTTGTTTGTTACTTCAGGGTAGTAGAAACGGAAGAAACTTATTTCAAAAAGCTTTGAAATAAAAAAGTATTAAAAAATGCTCAAAATCAGCTCAAGGTATTATCCAGACATCCTGAAGGCTCATGACTTCTAGTTAAAACCGCCCTACTTCGGTTATTCAAATCTATGGCATAAAGGTGAGAGGATAGGTTGAAAAAGCAAGCTTTAAATTTTCCATTAGATAATATATGTGGTGACCTCTTATGTAATTATAATTCTTTGCCGCAATGTGCTTGCTTGGCTAGGTAAGAGTCATACTTCAGTTTCACCATGTTAAATTTACTGCTGCTCTTGGGACATACAGTTTGTTTCTCCATATTATTTAGGATGTATTTGTCCAAAAAATAGCTGATTTTATATAACATAGCACAACAGCTTCTAACTTCTAATGAAAGAGTAGAATTGAACAATTAAATTCTGGGAGTGGATGTCGCTTAGTGTTTAGGAAGGTTGAACTGTAAAACAGATTCTAAAGTCTAAGGCTGTAAATATTAATTTAAAATGAATACAATTATGATGAAAATGTAATTTCTTTGCAGCCTTCTCGACCTTTTGGCAATATAAGGGTCAACAATTACTTTTCCACAGAAATTAATCAGAGGAACTAAGAAGTGGCTCAGGATACCAAGAGCGAGAAAAACAAAACGAAACAGAACAAAAAGATGGGTAAGAGGGAAGCAGAAAATGGAGGAACAAAGAACATCGAAGAACACATTGCTAGACGTGCAGGTAACTATACAGAAAAACCACTGTGAGTATCCCTGCATCTTACTATTTTGGAAGATATCTTCCCCTTAGATCTCTAGACCAGTCCCTGAATTGTAAGTTTCTGGGCCTTAAATAAAAGCCACTTTGATACAACCTATTTGTCTCGTGGCCACTTAAATCTAGGTGCAAATGATGTGCTAAGAAGGCAAGCATGGCTGGGGCCTGCTGACCTAACCAAATGTGTTTAATCTGTTTGATTCCTCTTCTAAGGGACCCATCTCATTGGGAAACCCATGGCAGCTGGATAAACACACAAGCAAGATCCTCTGTGAAATCCATGGCAGAGTTGCTTTTTCTCTCCCCAACAGAGGAGGCAAGTTAAAGTTTTTAAGGGGGTTGACGTTGACTAGAAAAGACTGTCTTTGTCCTTCTGCACCCTAGTGTGTGGCTCCCACCTGTAGAGGTGGGGTGTTATAATACCTTAGTTTCCAGTGGCCGGGGGTTTGCCCAGGCCCTGACTGCTTCCATTGTTCCTCATCTGGCCAGGCTCTTGTGTCAAATGCCTGTCTATGTAGATGAAAAAGCATCTGCTCATTGTTCTACTGTTGAAGCCATAACGTGGTCTTTAAGTAAGTTTATACAGAAGGTATAGGAGGAAAGGAAGGTAAAAAGAAAAATATGAG